CCTCAGTTGCATAATTTTCTTGTCTGTTTAGTCATGAATCCTGCCTGACTCCACACACCATTGAAAACAGCATCTGTGTCACTTTTCAGTCAGTAGTGGAACAGTAACTGTCTGTCTGATCGGGCGTCAGGGATTTGGCCATTTTGTTTTGGTCGTCCTTTCCCCTTTGTGTCAGCAGCCGAAAGTGATTGATCCTATGGAAACCCACCGACAATTTTAACATTCTAAAAGGGGCGGCACTTCACACCTGGTTCGTGCCGGCCTTTGAAAAAAGGTGAGAAAGAAGAGACTGAAAATGCGCTAAAAAGCTTTTGATCAGGAGAGGTCCGTTGCACTTTGGAAGGTAGACAATATTCAGATAGATTACAAATGAGCGAGCAAACGTTGGATTAATGAACCGTATCCTGGAGAGTCGGCTGAAACTGATCAGGCTTAATGCTGGAAATGGCAGCTGGATTTGTTTGGTTTTATTCCACTTGAACTTGGAAATGCACTTGCAGCCAAGTCCATGCAGAAGTGGTAATTTGATACTGTTGATGTGCTGTGTTAATTGCCAGTCAAATATGATTCCCCCCCCTCTCGAGTCGCTGAGCAAGAATGCTTAGCAAGTGTAGCAAGTGAATGTACCAAGGAGTTGCTAAGCAAGGAACAAGAACACAGATGTGACAGCATTGTGTAACCTTGTGTAGACCCATCATCAAAAGGTCCACATAAAGCAGGTTGTGTGGAACCTCGTCTGGACCTGGCCAGGTCCTTATGAGGTTACCCCCCCCCCCTTTCCGGAGAACGGTTTTGGAGGCACCCTTTTGGGTTTAGGGTTCTTAATATCAAACAGAAAAGGAACAGTCAAACTATCGACAAACACCCAGCTCAGAAGAGTCTTCACTGAGCAAGAAAAAGTATTTTCATTGAGTTCTTAAATCCATGAAGACTAGGGAATGTCCACACTAGGCAGGGAACTTAAACATGTGCCTGCATTGGTGGTGAGCACACCATTAAACTGTGTCTTCATTTTGAAGGTGTTCTGTGCATGTTGCATGATGATGAAGAGAGTGATGCAACCAAGCAATGATGATGTCTATCTATTATGCTACATGGGAGCTTTTGGCCTGCCATTCCCATATTCGGTAGAACTCCAAGTCGGCCCCATTTGTTTGTTTGCAAGTTCCGCATGTTTCAAAGTGAACCAGAGAAATTCTGCTTTACGGTTTCCAATCAGAAGTTGTTCACGCATGCCTGAGTGCCTGTGGGCCATAACCAGACACATCTCAGCGCCTCTATTCTTTGAAGGGGCGGGCCAACACGGCTATTTCGTCAGAGGGGCGTCCCTCTGACCGTTGTTGAATGGAGGTTGAATGGAAGCGGCTCTAGAAAGGGGAAAAAGGAGGCAAAGGCCAAGAAGAGAAAGAAAAAAAAAAGGACCCCTGTCGGCTGGTGCTGCTATAGATGGCCTGAATTGGTCATTCGACAAGCTTTGCTGAATTCTGACAGTTGCTGAGATTGACGGAACTGTTTCCGAGGTTGTTTCACAAAATGGGTCTTGCCCTCTGCTGCTGTGGCTGTGTTGTGTAGTAAACCAGTGGTCACAACTGACAACACAGCCACAAAAAAGCCAGATTTGGACACATTGGAAGCTTTATGGACTGAAGCACCCCCCTAAGCACTCTAATTCTGTAGACCACCAGTTGCAAACATGCCTGTGAATGTTTTTTAATGCGCGGTGACATCAACTGCATGTTGCATTATCATATCTACCACCGAAAGCGGATAATTCTTTCTGGTCCAGAATACACCGATGACGTTTGCAACAACAGAGTCTGTGACCAATTTTTTTTCCAAACTTTATATGCATTCATTTTTTTAAAGAGAACACTAACCGTGACTGCATTTTGAAATCAGGAATTAAATGCCTTTAGAAAAAACTCAGTGTGATCCACATTTATTCATTTCAAGATCGATTCATGAAACAGGGAGCACATCAAAATAAAGTCATATACAGCCCCCTTTGTGTTTCTCTACATTCCATATTTTGTAAGAAGCTGCAGCCTTGAACAAATATCACACAGCGTCTTGGCATTTATTTATTATTTTATATCTCACTTTCAAAAGCATCGATAAATTGCAACTGTACAAAGTACATGCACCTGTAACTGTCCAGACAGCTTCAATTAGTGACTGGAAGCCAGCACTTGTCTTTTCTCATCAGTGGAAAGCCCATCTGGCCCAGATCATGTGAATGTTGCCTTTGATTGCGCGTTCACATTGGTGCTGCGTGCATGTCACAGCCAACCACTCTGCTGCTTCATCACGGGCGGCCAGCCACAGATAGTCATCGCAAACATGCTTGAAAATCTGCCCAGGTTTTTTATCCTGTACTTACCGGCACATTGCACATCAACATGTGATGCATACAATGTACATGTATATCTACCAGGGGTTGAAATGAGAAAAGCAGTAGATTTTTTTGTATCTTTCACTATGTTCCACTTTCAAACTTGGTTCCACTTTTGCCCAGGTGAGAAAGGATAGATTAGGATTTCAGTCTCTCTTGATCGCTCAGACAGTTCGTAATAACTGTCTGAGTTTCTCTCTGGGTTTGTGAACTTTCTGAACCTGTAAAAATCTCTCTTTTTTTATTTAAAATGAATCGTTAAAGCTGGGCAAAGTCATTCAAAAAGTGCAAGTTGGATGACTCAGTCTGCAGAGGTGTAATAATAAACGACAGGTGTAATTTGGAATTTTCTTTCAGGTGTAGAAATTGTTTTTTCTGTGCTAAATAATCAGCACTTGAATTTTTTCACTCTAATTCTTTTCTTTTCCCCTCGATTATGGATCGGGCTAAAATCTTTTCAAGTCTGAAGAAGTGATTAAAATTTGTTTGAAATAAAAACAGGGTCCTTGGTATTAAACTCATAGGGCCTACAGTGAACATTTGAATTGGGAGGATCGACTCCACCGCAGAAATTTTGTGAATGGACGTCAAAGTACAATTGTGCACTCTTTTGACGGATGTAAAATTGATGATGATTACAGTTTCAGAAAAATAAAGGTAAAGACCTCAGAATGGTTGTCCGTTGTTGACCTGTCTCTAAAGCGTTGGCGGCAATTTTGTTAAATTAGCCGGCAAAATTGCATCACCTAAATTGACCACAAATTTATAGGGCTTAAAGTACACATGCTTTGGAATGGCATTTGTTGTGTTGTAGTGTCATTGTTAGGATGCATTGCTAATTTTTTTTTTTAGTTGTGTGGAATGTTTTGAATCAATCATTGCCAACAATGCACAATTGTAATGAAAGACATTATCAGATAGATGTGACAGAAATACAAAGACAGGGCGTTTCTAATTGTGAGCGGAATTCAGAGGTAAATTGAACTATTGCTAAGCATTTGTTGTGGCTGTAACAATTGAGTACTGCAGTTTGGTTGTCTGTGTCTTTGCACTTTGGTGTGCATTTGGTTGAGTTATGTCTGGGGGAGGGGGTACAGTTCATTTAAATATCCCAGTAGAACTACGGGGAGCCACTGCTCGTGACAGACATGTGTATAATCACCTGAGAACTGTTCGAGAATTGTGCCAGTGGGACCATGATAAAGGCAGCTTTGGATGATTTTGGTATTTCTGAGGACTTGACCTGTCCTACTATGTACAGGTACATGCCTAGCAACTGCAAATGCCTTTGATAACAGACCGCCGGGAGCTTGTTTGCCAAACATTTTGTATCGGTAGCAGTTAAAAGTGTAGTGGAGTGCAGTGTACGAGCAGCCCAGACGGGAATTTGGATTGTCATTTTTGGCCATTTTCTAGCTGTCGGCATTCATCAAGTCGTTCCTCCTTCAATTAGCGTTGGGTCCTAGTGGAAGTGCGCCAAAGCCATTCAGCGGGCGCTTTAAAAAAGGGCTGGAATTTTGATTGTGGGGGCAAATTGATTGTTTCATTGTTGAAATCCCCTTGCTCGATAACAAAGCCCTTCCATGCAGCCCCAAGTGGAATTTCTTTCCCCCTTTCTTCAACTTGCAGCGGTTGTTGACAGAAGAATTGTTCTGGGTTCCCTTTGAGGCACTTGTTTGAAGCTGTGACTCGGGAAGAATTTCACTGCCTCGTTTGACTGCTAATTCGTCACGACAACTCAACGCCCTGGCCTTAAATGTCGAGCACGCTGTCCCCAACTGACAAAGGGGGGCTCAATTCGTGCGCAAATTGTAACTTCCAAATGGATGGTCGAGACCCATCGGCGAACCATAAGGTTAGGTTGTGTAGAGGTTAATCTTGGTCAAAACTTCCAAGACCGGGCGAGCTGTGTAACATTGGGACCATGTGCTCCAACTTAACAATACGTCAGGTGGTACATGTATATACATGTACCTGTACACCTGTACTTTTATGTGTCTCCAAACTCTCTGAAAGGATGTTCGTTGCTGGGGAAAAAAATGGGGCACATGTGTTTTAAACACTCTGTGCCTTCACTGCCCTCGTCCATAACTTCCTCAAATCCACCAAAATCTAGAACCATCTGAGGTGCACATGTATGTTTTTTGATGGATCCAGAACCAAAGTACCTTATCCCCCCCCTGTCTTTTAATATCCAGTTTGTTGAAACCATTTTAACCCACCCTACAAAGATCAACAGCTTCCGGTGACATGTTCTTTACTTTTTCAGAGAGTTCTTCACCGTTTTGTTGGGTAGTTTAACGTAGAATACCCTTTTTCAATTCAATGATGATTGCCCCTGAAACATCCGACAAAGCTCTCAAATTTTGGCTTTGTGGATCACACGTACGCACCCCATATGAATACTGTAATTTCATTTGGTCTGTCTAACTTTGTAGGCTGGCTCACTGCAATGTGCCCTCTGTGCTGCAAGAAAGAAGAGCCTGTAATAGTTAATACATCTCTCTCCTGTGCTTGTGACCAGTCCAAGAAGTGCCAAGTGGGGAAGAGACCGGGTTTGGAATTGTGGTTTTTACCCCTTTGTTTCTGTCTCTCCATTCTTTTCCAGAGTTGCTGAAGTCCAACCTGCGGCTGTTCAGCGTGGAGGGCACCACTGATTACTCCCAGTTGGTCATCGACAAGGGATCCCAGGAACTGCTTGTTGGCGCCAGGTCAGTCCTTGTTTACTCATTCCTTTTGTCATTTTATGTGTAACAAAAAGGAAAAAACTTATCCAATCTCTGTAACCTCTCCCTTTGAAGAGCCCTTATTTTAAAAAGACAAGCATTTTATTCCAGCAGACCATGTGAAATCTTCTTTGCATTAGGAGATCTTATTCGAAAAATTTGTGCAATGTTTATTGTATTAGGAGATTTATAATACAATTATTCTTTGGCTCACAAATTTCAGAATTACACAAATTTCAAGCATTTGTCAGTGTGAACCATGTGGTTTCCAGCATTAAACAAAATTTCCATTTCCCTGCTATTCTATCCATTTGATTACTTTTTAGATTTAGCATTTGGTATGGCTTGAAGTGTGTTCAATCATTTATTTCACCCATTTACAAACAACATAGATAATTGAAATTCAAATTGATTGATAGAACAAATATCATGCCTACATATTGTACCTATTTGAATTCCCTGGAGTACACAGACTCTTGCACAGACAAAAGTGAAAGAAAGTTCACCTTCCTAGTAATGCTAGTAGTAGAAGCCCTCCCCGAGCCCTGTCAGCCATTAAAAAACCATTTGTTCTTTAAAGGGGTTGTGTTCCAGTGGCAAACATGTCTTTTAAGAGCTGTCCTCAATGTCAAAATAAACTACAAACTGGAATGAAAATAAACATGTGTCCCACCGCACCCCGGGAGTGGTGCCAGAATTTTTTTTGTTTTTGTTTTAAGGAGTCGCGAGAGGGGTGAGTGAGTCTGCTTAAAAAATCTTGTTTGCACAACCCACCGGCAGGAGGTTGGGTGCACTTGGTCTTGGTTTGAAGATCTGTCCCCTGAAAAGTCACTATTGAAAGGCCAAGACCATCAGTGCTGGCAGGTGTGGTCAGCTGTCTCTCCATCTTGCCTGGGAAAAGTCAAAGGCTAATAACACTGTCCCCCGGAGGCACTTACTACACTCAACCTGAGCCTGAGTGACCAATCAGGGCTCTGAGTTGGCCTGAAAGTCACTGGGCACTGACTGACCATTGAGAGCTGGTTTTAAATTAGCCCATACATTCTAAGTGCATTGGACTTCTTGTGGGGGTGCAAGCCAAGTCATGGGTTGGATGAAAACATTGCCAGACTTTGAACTTGATATTCTCGGATATTCTTTGATGTCCATGGTGTTGAATGTAAATACAGATATGCTAAGACCCGGAGAAAGGATTTGGAGACTGTCTCATATTTATCCATTCATGGGCTCAGTCATGTTTTCAAAAACAAGAAATCCTGGAAGTTTAACAACATCGAACGCTTTGAATACATCTTACCTACTTAGGTCGTTTTCTCCACAAGATTGAGATGCACGTCCCAATCATTCATCTTGACCAGATCATTCATCTTGCGGATGTTTTGCTCAGTCAGGAGTGGCATAACAAACAGTCATGGGCTTGTTGATGTCTGGACATGGCCCGTTTTTTCACCTCACTCCCTCATCTGCAAAGCCCCCCCCCCAGGAAGACGTCCCAGTGTGTAGTTTTCACCATCAGCTGCCTAAGTGTTGAGCAAAAAGTGGTCCAACCGCAGAGCCTGGTCAGCGGTCAGGTTTTGACAGAGGAAACAAAATTAGCCAGGCTCTTGCAATGAATGGCCCACTTGAGGGTCTTTTGCATCCACTAATTTGGGAGATAAGCCCCGGGATTGGTGTTGTTTGTCCACATGAGTACAATGGGGACTTGTTTGCTAAAAATCATGGGGCGCACTTTGGTTTGGGCTATGGGGCTTTCAAATATTGGTTGTGGTTGAGTTTGTTAGGGTTACAAGAAACATGATAGGAGAATGGGTCATGCTTATTTGTGTATAGAGGCACTGGATATGTTTTGAATACACTCGGGTATGTACATGGTATGTTGAAAATAAAGGAACTTGAGTCCTTCCATAAATTAGGGGTCCCTTTTTTTTCGTGCCCCTGTCACATTTGACATACGATTTTGTAGTTAAGAACACGTTCTCCAATTTCCAAGAGTGATGAATTAATGCAAATTGCGTGCCAAACAAATAGAAATACCAGTAGTTTGAAATCAATTTCAGTAATATTTCCATGTCAAATTACAAAGGTTAAGTGTAACAGGGACACGTAAATTTCACACTTTTGGACCCTGTATTTGTAGAATGACCCACTTGAAAGTTTGAGTTGGACTGGTTCCTTGGAGGGTTAGCAAATATTGTAACCGTTTGGGCTGAAGCTCCAGTTTCATTTTCTGGTGTGTGAAAACAAAATGCATGACTATTGTGAAAGTCAAACAAAACCCTGAGCACATGTTTGAACCTGGTTGACAGTTGCGTTCTTACACGTCAGAATAATGCCCCTGGTGCGTGTCCCGTTGTCAGTACAGGTACGAACCACAGCTTGGACTTGCCGGTGGCGAATAATGGTCCTAAAACTTTCTGGTGGCTGAACACCTGCTGAACATGTGCCAGTTTCTCCTCCTCCTCCTGACCATGTAGATAGCCCTCCCGGCTGACTTTTAAAAATTCAAAACCCTGTGACATCCCAGTTGATAATGCCTCTTCAGATAAAGATTGACATTACTGCCGTAGATCCATTTGTACCTTGTGCATTGGGGTTTCATCACTTGCTGAATGGGGGAAGTTTGTGCTTGCTGGAAACAAATTAGACAAAGGAATTCAAACGTCAATGTTTTGTTTTAATTTTGTTTTTATTTTGGTCAGATATCAATGTCCGCATTGGGTTTCTGTTTTGCACACATTTGCCATAACCAGCCCAAATGTGGCGGTATGAGACCCCCCCCAAACAACCAAGTTCACTAAGCTCCGTTCCCAGAGCACTGACCCCTGAAATTTGTAAAGCTGTCACCAACAACACAACTCTTTCATATCGCACAGGGCATATCCCATGTCTGTACCTTCATTTGGGAGATGTTTCCACCTTAATTTGACTTTTCAACTTGGAAAGATGAAGGGTAGATTTAGAACAGAGAGTTAACATGAAGTCACTGTGCGCTACCAATCTAGATGTACATGTGTCACAGTTTGCTGCAGGCTGTTACATATCCTACCCCACTACATATATCCTTACTGTCCAGATGCCGGACAATCCCACATTTAGAAATTTGTCTAAAAATTCTGGTTCAACACAGGACCTGAATTGATTTGGCCTAAATACTTTGAAATTGCGAAACTCATATCTAGTAGGCGCATGTTCCACAAGCAATGCACACTTTCTGAAGTGTGAATCAATTGTCTTTTGAAAGCACTTCATGCATGATTTTGAAATCTATGGCATGCAGTAAAAGGCACCAAGTTCCTCTTCTATGGAATGAGATAATGTCAGTCCTTTACATTAGACACGTACAAGGTTTTAAAAAAAAATTCTGAAATTTCACCAGGAGAGATATAACAAATAACCATATCCTACTGCTATTGTTTATCTGTATTTGTGTATTAATGGCTAATGTATTTCATCTTTTTTTTTCTTTTCTTTTTTGTGACATTACCTTTTTGAAACTAGCTTCTTTCAAATTATTTATTATATTTGTTTTGAAAGCAAAAAATACTTTTTTGTTGCAGGAACCTGGCATTGTAGAAGCTTTTGCCTGTGCCAGCTATCTTCCATGCATCACTTTGTGCATTTATGCTATTTATTTACCTCTTTACAATTGTTATAATGGACGGAAATAAATCAAGTACTTGGCCTTCGGTGTAGAATTAGTACTGTCATAGCTTTTGTTAAAGTGATTCTTTTGTACAGTTGGCTGTAAAAGTTTTTCGATTTGAGATTTGTCAGTTTTTCCTGTTGCATTTTCCCAACAGAGATTTGCTGGTGAGGTTACAGCTGGACGATCTTTCAGTAATCGAGGTAAGTGGCTCAGCTTGGATTACTTTAGGGTCAGGGCAGGGGCCCTAACTCCATGGATACTGTTTCATTCATAATCTGCTGGGGGGGGATCCAGACTATATCCTCCATTCTCCAGTGTAGCAGGTGCATGTCCAAGCTGTGGACAATTTGCTGTAAGACTTGCTGAAAGTTTGCCTGTCTTGGTTTTCTTGTTGGCTTTTGGAGGATGTCCTGTGAATGGATCCCCAGAGGATGTGTAATAGAGCTATTTTAACGTGTGGCAATGTGTGTCTGTTTGTTTGTGCGGATGGGCTGTCTAGGGAAAGGACCTTTGGCCGTGTATGGCCCATGTACGTGTACACATGTATGTGCCCTACCAGTGAGATTTTATATTGTTGGTCTTACAGAAAAAACATAAAAGAAATTTTGTATGGTGACTGTTTCCAGTAAGTCAGTGTTAAAGTTTTTGCAATAGATAAGTGTGTCTTGTTTTGTGATTTGTGTGTTGAGAACTAATCCTGATGTATGTGTCCAAGGTGACACAAAACTGACAACCAAGTTGACGTTGATTTGATGTCCTTTGCTGATGCACCAGTCTGAAAAATATCCCATATCCTGTTTCCTGTTAGTTGGTACTATAATTACTTTGTATGAGGGGAGAGTTTCTTTTAAGAGATTGGTCTGAAAATTCCAGTTTCATTGAATACGTGTGGGTGTCAGGTTAAATGACAGCTGGAGTATTAAACGAGTAGGTTTCCACCCAGTGGGTTTAAAAAAAGAGAAATGACGGCATCTTTCTTTTCCTCTCTGGAGCTCAAAGATGTTTTCAACACGACAGACATCTGTCTGTCATCTCCCCTCCCAAGCTTGCTTCCGCTGGCCATTTGGCCTGGCTGTTTGACTGGCAAATGTCAGCCTGATCTTGAACTAGAGATGGGCCCGACCTTCCATCCAGAGAGTGGCATGGGCCTAGCTCTCTGTCGCTCTTGCCGCTCGTCGTCGGGCCAGATGTGAAATGCCGCCTGCCTCCTGGCCTGTTCCTAAGTTTGGAGTTGGATGAAACAGACTATCCTTGATAATTCGCTTGGCACCATGTGAAGAGTCGAAGCGGCCCTGAGGTGTGCTGACCGTAAGTGATATCACTGCCAACGCCAAGGAGCCCCTGATCTTAGCATTGCCGTGTCTGCTGCCGTTACCATCACGGAGCGGATACCAGCACAGTGCAACAGATTCCAGTGGAGGACAGGGCAGAGTGGAGATTAACTCAGGATGGGTACAAGGTTATGGCATTCTTACCCAGGGTCAGGTTTTTTCCTTGAATTCAGAAATCCAGGTTAAACAGTTTGTGCATGGTTAATTTTAGGTGTTCAAGGTGTAGGTCTTTTTATTGTGGTATTTATTCCATCTGACATTTAAGAGGGATTTTATATCCCATTCCAAGTGATGGCAAACATCTGTGAGGTTGGGTTTTGATGCAGTTGTGGACTGTGTACAGAATATGAAATCCACAGTGTATTTATAAGCGGCAAAGAGAAAACCATAAACTGGAAAAGGTAACGAGACAGCACGATGCACACCTACTGGGGTACTTGTCAGGCATCACAGACATTGAAATGGAAATGCGTGGAGATGCGCAGACCATAGACCTAGCCGTAGCTCCGGAAGCCCGTTTCGGACATGGCCCAAGCTAGAAAAATGATGTATGGCTGAGGTGAATACAGGTTACCATCCAAACTGCTGCGCATGCCTTTCGAGGCGCATGACTGGTACTCGGCTCTGTCCTGCTCAGCACAGCATCAAGCCACTCCTTGTGTTTGGGTGACGCGTTTATAGGCGACAAGAAGAAAGACGGACAGACAGACCAACAGACAGTCTGTTAGTCATCCCTGGTGTGACATAAGGCATCTGCGGATTGTACTGTTGCTGTACATGTGTGCAACCACCTACAATGTATACATGTACCAACCAGAGCGAAATGGACATGAAGGATAAAAATGGAACACCTCAAGGAGAGAGGTCTTAAATAAGCAGGAACTACTAAGTCTGTGGACAAATGGAGATTGGCAACAAGACTGGGACAGTTGAAATGTTGTAAGATCCTCGGAAATGAGATGATCCCATCTGAGATGCGGAGACAGTAAGCAGCAGTTTATCAGGGAGGCCTGCAGAGAGAAAAATAAAAGTGGAAGAATCCTAAGGATAGAGAGAAGGAAAACAGAGAGAGCCCTGGGAGTTGAGCTCGCCACCTGTCAGGCTGTGATGGGCCTGATGGACCCTGACATTTCTGGGCCCTGAGAGTGTGACATTTGCAGAGATTAGTCAGGTAGACCTGAGCGAGTACACCTGTCCATTGCCAGTTTCCCCCATTGCTTTCATTTGGCCCTTCTCTGAATGTCACTCTGTGCCGCCTGGGTAACGGAGTCGAAGACAGTAAATGGAGTGAGGAGTCATCAATGGCCATGGGAATCGTGCCATCCACCGCAGACTAAATTTGTTGATTTTTTGGGAGGGCTGGTTAGTGGGGGCGGACATCTTGCTGTTGATAGTAGGAGAGTGGGTGGCGGTGGGAAGATGACCTGCCAGCAATGTGCTGGCGCGATCCCACGAGGAGTTGAAACTAAAGTGATGCATATCAGCCCTACATGATGAGAACATTACTATCTTGAAGAGGCGCGCTCATCGGACATGGATGCTGCGGGAAGCATTGGACATTGCAAGTATTTGCCAACATGGATTTTTCAGTGCGGGGGGTGTGACAGACACGGTATTTCTGAAGTGAAATCTGAAGTTAACCTTGCATCTTGTCAGGCCTGTCATTGGAACTCTAGATCAGCACTTCTTGCACTCCTGTCCTGGAGAGTTTTAACGGAAGTATGATATCACAACGGGGATGAGGCGATTGGGCAATGGGTGGAGTTCAGTGCCATTTCCCTGGACTTACAGCCTGAATTGCTGCGAGGATCTGCTCTGATATACCTTAAACCGTAAACTTCTCACAGCCATCCTGCAGTGCAAGGGCGAGATCCCTCCACAGATTTCTACCAGACGTTATCACCAGCATCATTTGTCCAAACTCCATTTCCAGTCCAGAAGCTTACAACCTCTCAAGATGTCCGTGCATCACTGATGCCCTGTCGAGCGTTAAGGCCTCAGTGCTGCAAAGTTGACCGATCCGTTAATCTTTTCCCATTGAAGGTGTGAAACATTCTCCTCTTGAGCTGCCACCAGCTGTTTGATTTGCTCAAATGTCTTTCCAAAAGTTGAGTTTGAAATATTCTACAAATTGAGGTTGTTTTCTCGTGTGGAGGCCAGTGCTGTGACATTGAGAACATTTTATCCCTGGGAAGAAAAAGTCTGCTGGCTTGCCCAGAAGCAGCTGGAGATTAAAAGTTCAAAGGGATTGCAACATGGGCTGGGTTATCTAAATCAGTTGAAGAAATCCAATAAACACTGTTTATGAGGGCGGAAATGGGACACTTTGCTGGAAACATCTGGGTTTAATGCAACAACCTGAATCTGTAATTGTTTGTTTTGTGGGGAACATAAAAATGAAAACTTGTTCAGTACTATTTGGGGGGGGAGCCCAGCAAGCGATGCAGCTGTCGCACAGGGGGAAGTTCAATCAGGTTTGGAACCTTGAGTGCAAGAGAGGTGCCAAGAGGGGGAATTCCAAGGGCTTTGGAAATGAGAGAGTGCGCCGATTCATTAGGCAGGTTTAACAGGAAAAAACAATTTCTTTGTTCCTCTCTGTTCCTTCCTCTCTCTCTCCTCCGAATGTTACGGAATTGTTTCTTTCTGTCGCTTCACCGAAAGGTTGTGGAAGCTGAGAAAGGTTAGAACCTTCAGGAGGTCGGAATGATTAAGAGAGAAATGACCAGGGTCAGACTGTAAAATTTACGGACGCATGCTTATGCAGATGAGTGTGAATCGCGTACAGTGTACTTTGTTGTAATTGAAGCCATGTTGGCCAGTGTGACGTTTGCAGTTATCATTGTATATTGTACCGGTAGGTTTTAATGGTTTCCCTCTGTGTATCTGGAGATGTATCGGTGTCGAGTGGCAAGTTTTGCGAGATACCAGCAGTAGAAATTGTGTCGGCCTAAACTACTGGCCGTCAGCCACCGTACTGCAGTGCACATTGGCCACGCACTGCTGTCTTGCTCCGGGCACGGCCATCAGCCGGAGTTGATTTCCTCCACTGAGGCAGTGATAGTGCAGATGTGTAACCACATTGGTATTTCTCTGCGGAATTCTACAAACATCTGCAAAAGCAAACTGCTACATTTTTTTTTTTAAAGGGACCGATGGCTGGTTGAAGTCTTGACCGCAAACGGCGCTGTGCATACCACTCTCACGGGTTGCTAGAGACTGGTAAATTTACATCAATGTTAATGAGAAAGGCAGTAGACAGAGTCATCGCATAACATTTTGGGACATCAAGGGGAAGGGTGTGCTTCAGTTTCCGAGATGGGCCTCATGTACATGTAAGGAGGGGCAAGGGTAGCTCTCTGGAGCCTTCTGGTGAACAGGAGGGGATATCTGGAGGAAGGAGGAATGTCAGGCTATGCTAACATGAACCCTGGTAACAAGGGAACTAATCAACACGAGATCCACGCAATACCTTTCTTACAGTGAGGTTGTGTTGGAAAGAATCCTGGCTTGAATGCCCCTCTGGATGACATGTATGGTTCTGTTTTCAATGCGGAGCTGCTTTTGCAGGTTCCCAGCGTAAAAAGTATGGCGGCGTTTTCCTCCCATTGCAGAAAAGTGGAACGTTGTCTTGATTATCTTTCTGCAGATTTTTTCTCTCTGCCCTATGTGCTTTTTAAGGCATTTGTTGTTTCGTTATATAAAAAAATGAAGTGGGTCAAAATATGAACTGAGCCTTGAGCCTTTTTAATCCGTTAATATTCAAACTGTGAAATGCTCGGAGTAATTTGCACGCAACTGTTTGTCCCAAGCACAAGGAGCTGCCTTCTAAGCTAGACGGCAACAGCATTCCCTCAACTGCAAACGTGTATGGAGAACCGATAATTTTCTGCACCAATATATTGACTTGCTGATTATTGAGACTTTGTAATGCATAGTTTTGGACCAACGTAAACCCCTCTCCCCTATAATTTGGGCATGTTTTACTCCACCATATGTTTGCCCGGAACCTCCGCCTCCTAAAAGCTGTAGCCATTATTTCAGCACCTGTTCCTCTGGCTTGGTATTCTCCTCAGTTTTTTTTTTTCTCTCTCTCGCTCTCTTTTTCCATGCTGTAATGTTCTTTCCATCTGGATGGCTTGGCTAAAGAGTATATGCGATGATCATTGCTGCAGGTAGGGGGCACCGCTGTCCTCTAAAGGTTGAGACAAATTTGTACAAGGGGATCGTGTTGGCGGTCTTTGGAATTGACAGTTTTTCTTTCCGTCTGTGGCATCAGATGAGCATCCCAGATCTAGGGATGAAATGTGTGATTTGTGGCTCCGTTATGGCATAGCTCCTCTTCAAATTGTTATGCTGAACCTTGTACACGTGCATACTTGTGCATCTTGTGCCGACAGTCACATAGCTTGTGTGGTCATATCTGTTCTGCCCTATCTCGCTAATCACTATTTTACTGTGGATTTTGTTTTGTCAGTTTAACTGAGATACATAAAAATTCTCATCAAGGCAAAGAACCATTTCCTATTTGTCTCAGACAAAAGAAAAAAACAAAAGATTTAAATCCTTTGCTAACTTTAAGGAAGAATGCTGCCTGCCGAACAGTTCTTAGTTTTCTGATAACTTCCAGTATCTCACAATCTCTGTTGGGGTGATTATCAAACTTGAGCACTGGATACCAACACAGAGCGTACATGTTTTTGAGATGAGATTTCCAAGATGGCTTCTCTTAAAACTGAATGGCCTGTTTCTTGGCTGGCAGAAGTGTTCTTTGTAAAAGGTTGATGGCTTTCCGGTCTACTCATTTGAGGTCAGCGTTCCCCTTGAGGGGCCTTTGAAATTGATCCTGTCTGACTCCACCTAAAGCCCTGGACTGTGATTTTCGACCAAGTTCAAGAGCAGTTTTATCTGTTATCACCCTGCATTACTTTTGATTTCTGAGCAAAGTTGTGGTCACTCTGTCCCATAATAGTGCAGTAGTTTAGCTATATAGTTTCTGTTCCCCAGGGGGTGTAGATTACATGATCCGCTGTTTCTGTCCAAAGATTGGTTTCACTTTTTGGCTTGGTCATTGCGGGTCTAAAAGAGTCCATGTAGCAAGATAGTGTAGTGTCTTTGGTCTTGTAACCAAAGCCCCATGAGATTTCCCAGACACCCCCCTCTATCGCGCACACGCTGGTCGATCAAGTTCAGAAGTTCAACGCTGCATTTTGTGCGCAGGTTCATCCTGGTGTAAGGCAGACCAGCGAGGGCACAATAATAGGCCAATAGAGTTGTCAGGTTAGATTAACTAAAGTGATTGTTACAAAAAACTGGTGCCTTTTTTTTGGAACAACAGCTACGCGTCTGGCCCATTGATCGGACTATCTGTCTGCTGGGACAGTTTCAGAACAGGTTTTCTCCGGGGAGAACAAGGCATTGAAACTAGGGGAACAAGATACACGTACACTAGAGGGTAAAGGATTGGCAGCCACGTCCCAAGGAAACAGAGAATTGGTGGGAAGGTGTTGAAGTTCCTAAGCATATTTTCCGGCAAGATTTCTGTGTGATGATCAATAGGCTTCCCTTGTATACTTCCTTTGCCCCTCTATCCACAAAGTGCACCCTAGTGTCCTCTAATAATCTACGTTTCCTCCAACTCACTTCACACGCGTCACAATATCTCAAGAGTCGGTCTGAACAGAAATTGGACCGACAGACTGATTTTGTCTATGCATCTTTGTTTTCAGGTTTACAAATGATAAATATAAGGCATTCGACAATCTATTTGTAGGTGTGGAATTTTTCCAACCGAAAGATTTATTTGAAGAGGCCACTGACATGGTGCTGTGTGTGGTTGAATTGCCTTCATATTTGGAGGCTCCAAAAGTACAGTTGTCAAAATGTGGAAATTGGGCAAGTTGTTGGGGGAAGGGACGGGTCCCTCAGATTTAAGCTGGTTGATGAATCACAGGGCATCACATTAGCAGGGGAGCATACATTTTCAGACATCAGGATTACAGGGCCTGCCAGGCGGGCACAGAGTGATATGGGAAGTTGTGAACCCCCCCAATTCTTAAGGGGGGAAAATCTAGCAGTGGCCTGGGAGTATTGAAAGATGAGTTGTTAAAAAGTGTTTATGCAAGGACAGATCTAGGATTTCCAAAAGGGAGGTGCACCTTTGGGTCAATTGCGAGTGTGCAGCGTGAAGTGCTCAGTCACAAATTAAATGCAACAGAGCCAGTTAAAATTAATTATTATGCAGGTGTTTAGGGGGACACCTGCCCAATGCGTACCCTCTCTAAATCCGTCTCTGTTATGTCAAATACATAGACATATGACAAAATGCTTTAGTTTTCTTTCAAGGAATAATTTTATTCAAGATTGAAATGTTCCTGGGTGCTGTGCTCTTATTGGTATGTGTATTATTATTGTTCCTTTCCTTTGAGTTCATCTTATTCATTAAGACAGCTATTCCTCACATTTCCAACCAAAGTATCTCTCTTTTTGCAAGTGTTTCGAAAGGGCTTAAACCAGGAATGTTTTCATGCAACCAGAATGTGAAGAAATGTAAGAAAATGCATTTTTTTTATAAATTGATTTTCTTATGAAAGTTCCAATTTACTGTTCAAAGAAAACTGCACCACGGTTTTATACCAGTGAATTCGCGTGTGACTCGTTACATAAATGTGCGATACTGTTTCAAAATGTTCACTACTGTCCCTTATTCTTTTGACTTCAGTCCACAGAGTGGAGACCACGGGAGCAGGACATAGACAAATGTCAGAGAAAAGGAGAATCCTTGGTAAGTTACGAGGAGGTTTTTAAGATTCTTAGAGGTTTGTGTCGTTTTTATTGTTTAGGAGTTGTCCTAAATCTGCCAGAAACATTCGTCTACGACATCTCACCTGGAAAGTTTTAAAAACAAGACCTTTACTTCTGTTGAAGTAATGGCAAATACAGTCATGTGCAAAAGTTTAAGACCACTTGGAATTTGTTGGGATATTTCTGTCACTGGGCTTGCATTACTTTGTTTCATTGAATGATTACATAAGATTTTTTTACAGTGGTTATAACATGAGAGTTGTGCTATGAGCCCCATTTGCATGAATTTTGTTGCCAAGGCAGGTCTTGTACGTGTGTGGCATTTGTCTGTAAGGCGGCAAGGGGGAAAAAGTCAGTCTTAACTAAGTAATCAGAAATAAAGGAGGGCACACTGAATATTAGACTGTTAACATTTCAAATCAGAGAAATGTAGTTAAACAGTTGTTCAACCAAGATACTAAGGGTACACATTGAAAGTAAACATAAATTGCCATGATCGATTGGTTTGAGTTGGGTTTTTCTTCAGGTTTGAGTGGTCCTAAGCTTTTGTAAATGTACTTTTGCAACTGTACTGCGAGCCATAAGGGCAAAGAAACAAACTCTTGACAGCTGGAGAGTTCAACCAGTATGTCTTCTTTTCCAACAATTTGTCACACCGAGCCAATCTTGCCTTTTCTGTGGGTATTCTGTTTGCTTTTCTTTTCTTCTGAGCGCTCCCTTCATGTTAAATTGTCCCTTTTCTGGAGAAAGAGAGAAAAAAAGGAAAAGTACATGTACGTGTTGCTACTCCAGACCGTGTCTAGCCCTGATAAGATCTGAGCATTTTTCCAACAGCCTACAAAGAAAGGAGAGGAGAGGGGAGTCAGAAATGACCAATTTCCACCTTGCCGTTGTTGCCAGCAGGGAGAGTTCCTCCCCAAGACCAGATTCCCCCCCCCCCCACTGAAGAGCCTAGATTAGACGGTTGTGAGGGGAAAAAATACCCTGAAAAGTTTATTGCAGAGTTTTGAAACTTTCCAGTTGCCATCTGATGAACTACAGGAAATCCTGCTCTTGATGAGTGTCGGACAACTTTTTTTTTTTTTTTTTTGATGTGCTTTAATAGTGCTATAACACTGGCTTGTTGACTCCAGCAACATTTATGCAAGTTGTCTTTGACGCCCGGGGACAAACAACATAATCTTGCACAGTCTGCTCAAAGAAATTAGAAACACATAGGTGCTTTAAGTGAAACAGGAAAAACATTATGCGGTTTTGGGCTCGATTTAACAAACCACATCAACTGTTTGTCAGAACCTTTTACACGAATGTCTACTTAAACTTAAAATGCCGCTGCTGTAGAATCTGGGAAGAGTTTACTCAAGGTTAAAAAGATACACTTATCTTCGTAATTGAGAAATACACCTTTGACATGATATTTCCTGACGTGCACTTGCCAAACAAGAAGAAAAATTGTCCAGATTATTCTGCAGAACCTGTCAGCACCACAGCCTGGCATTTCCTACAGATGAGAAGTCCCCGATGATTGAAACAAACAGACACAACTGCCCTTCTGGCTCTTCGGAAAGTACCAGTCACCCTCGTCTCCCCCTCCCCCACCCCACAAAGAAAGGAAAGACAGGGGACGAACAAAAAGAGAATCGCATAATCAGATCCAAGATGGTTGAGGTGTTAAAAAAGTGGAACTGGCCCTGCATAGCACAATACACAGGGGAGACAGCTGTACTGTGGGGCAGACAGTCACCTTGTACTTTTTAGGGGTAGTTCACAGGATTGGAGACTCTCTGCTCAGCAACGCACTCCCGATCCCCTGCCCAGGCCTACAAGCATGTAGTGCAAGAACACCCTTGGTCTGAATGCTCCGGTGAATAAACACATGTGCATTCATGTTGGCATGTGTGAAGCCTTTCAGTTTGGGTTCAGTTGACTACCAAGATGCTACTTATGCCACAGTTTATTTCATAAGTTTTGCGACAAATTCTGATGCATTTCATGAAAAATGAAGCAGAGCCATGGTCTGCAACTTGCGTAACAAATTATGACGTAATTGACGTGATCATTTTATGTAGCATGAGCTGTGCCAAACAAACTATTTAACGAACTAATCATTTTAAGATTCCGTATTGCTCAACTTCAATAACAAAGGTTTATATGAGAAATTTACAACTCCTGTTTGGCTGTGAGAGATATCGGAGATGTTTTGTCAGGGTCTGGCAAAACAAAGATGAAAACATTTTCAAAATGTCAGGTGAGGGTGCATTGCACAGTTGCGGCACAAGGTCTGTGCCGCAAGGCTTACGCAAGGCATAAAGGTAACGCAACGTGTTTTGAAATCAGCTGTGTACGTCTGGCAACTTGCGGAATTCCATCTTTTTCATATTTTTTTGGGAAAAACTCTAGCCTTCAGCAAAAAAAACCCTCCTAATGCCTCCCTGAGGGCGGATCCAGAATCAAACTTGATGGAGGGCAAAATTATTTTTGGGGGGGTTGGCCAGAAATTTCAGAAATTGTTTTATGTAACCTCGTAAGGCATTCCTTGTGTTGAGACTGTTGGTTTTTTTTTACACACTTTTAAAGGAAGAAAAAAGGAAATAGACCAGTAAATCGCCATCCTTATTATTTGTCAAAACAAATTGCTTTTTTGGAAGGGGCTGGTCCCTTTCCCCCCCCCTCCCCGATGATTTGCTAATGCACCCCTGTCCACTTACCAATTTTGTTTTTTCTTTTTTTTTTTCAAAAGATTTGCAACAGCAGTCCAGATGTTAGCTGATAAGTTAAACCTTTGCCCGGTTCCACCTGTGGAAAACTATCTCAGTCCTGACACTTTGTTACGCCATTACAGTCTATTCACCTGGGCACACGCAATGCTGTGGTTTCCTGAAGGAGACTTCAACAGTGTCTTCATTTCGTTTCTGAAAATTGAAGAAACATTCTTAAATGGCAGTTTCCTGTGTTGGTCTTATTTTCTTCTCTTAATATCCAGATTTGGTAGCACTTTTACTTCTCTCTCAAGAGGTCATCTGCCAACTTTGGGGGAAAAAATCAAGGCTGATTACTGATAGGGATACAGTTTTAATGTAGTTCAGTTTAAAAAAAGAGATGAGTGTATAGGCCACCTGTTTGTGCACATTTTGATGAAATCGTTCCTGATTATTAACCCACACCTTGTGCGTGCACACCATTGTGTCAATGCAGGCTGCTCTGTTCCTACCCAGAGTCAGTATTCACCCAAGATGCTTCAGTAATCACTGCCCTCCGTCAGTAGGTCATAGTAGCATTCTTCTAGCCTTAGCTCCAGTAGAAATACCGGACTAAAAGATCACAGAGAAGAGCGTACTTTATTTACGTCAACTGTAAAGTTTCCAGCGATTGGCTATTAGTTGAAGCATTCACAAGGGAGTAATAAACCTTTTGTGTGTTAAATTTGAATAAAATCGGATACACTGAGTTATCTGATTGCACATAAGCATACCAATTTGAATTCCTCAGACTAAAGATACTATTGCTGTACCTTGTGAATTGAGGCAAGCTTTTTGCGTAGCATTTCTGGAATAGACTGGTTCCTTTGTGCCCTTCTTATCCATGGAAAATGGTGTACTGGCGCAAGCTGTCTCTGAGATAACTAAGCAAAAGCTTGGCCCAAATCACAAGGTATTGCAACAGTGTCTTTAGTGTGGAGAGTTCAAATTGTTATCCTCAGGTGAATTTAAAGAACTCAGTGCACCAGATTTTATTCAAATTTAACTGGCATAAGGCTTATTGCACTCTGCTTCCTAGAAAACTTGCTCCTGGTAAGACCTGGTTACAGCTGTTGAGTGAAGCTTACCTACTGTTGCCATGACGCATTGTCCAGATGCATGCGTTTAAACTGGCTGTCACAAGGGTAATTATTCTCTTGTTTTTAGCATCCCTTCATTGGCAAGGATTACTAATTGCCTGTGTGGTTGACACATGACTTGAGCCAACAAATTAATAGCTTCTTTCTTCTCTCGAGCTAAAGTCCAGCCCGAATAATGATGAGAAGTCAGGAGTCTTCCTGACAGGAAGGGGCACAAAACTCAAACTGTCTGGTCTGGCTTCCCAACTCGCAGACTGTGACTCACCGATGTGGTCAGTGGGTCAGGCCAAAATTATATACGAGCAAGGACTTGACGCAGTCAAATCATTCCGGCCAGTCTCAAAGAGAAAGCTACCATCATCGGACCACTTCTTGAAAGGACGGTCATTTTACCCCTATGAGTCTTCTGTGTCTTTGTGAGGGTGGAAATTCCTTGTCCACCTGGAGATGCTTCACGGCCTGTGGTGGAGAATCACCAGAGACTTAGATCTGATCTTCTGAGAGGCTGGGTTATCAAGGATTTCTGGTGAATCCAGAACCTGTAACTAACAGGTGTACCATTGTTGCACTACTTGTGGAGATGATACTTGGCTACGGCCCTGGGCTTAGGGTCCACGTTGGAAAAGGAATAGCCCCTAGAGTGGCTATTATGAATACATCTTTGACTTGGCTTATCATAT